TTTTGGGAGAAGGCAAGATGAAAAAATAGCAACCGCCTTCTCCGGGAATCGAACCACGGACCTCTGGAATACCGTCCCAGCGTACCACTACACTACGAAAGCATGCTAAGAAGGCGGGAGAAATACCTTATACATTTAGATTTCAGAATTAGCATACATCTTTATAAACAAAGCAGCTTTAACTGTTTCTTTAAAGGATTTTTTTCAATAATTTACATTTTACGTAGATTTGGTTTTGGTGCCTTTCGTCATATGGACGAGATATAAAATAAGGGTAGGCCAGTTAATTGCTTTATACAGTACTAATAAGCCTCTCTACCTCAAATAAAATTTTTTGATGTGTAAATACCGATGTTGACTCTCAATGAGCGCGCGGTGGGAACTATAGTTTTTTTTTTGGCAGTTCTGTGTTGATGTTAATTTCTCCAGCGTACAAATAGAACTAATTTTTTTTTTTTTTTTTTTTTTTTTTGCCAGCTCAGTGATCTTGCTCAGATTGCTTTTAATTACGCTTATTTTCGAAAACGTTAGCTGTGAACGTAAACACTGCACTCTGTAGTGGTTTAAAATCAAAATGTCAATTTATTTAATTTTCTTAAGTACATATGCATATTCTTAAATATAATCTGTTTTTATGTTCGCAGTATTTTTTGTAATTTCAAATGTTGTCGTGATTACAATCATTTTTGAGTAGTTTAAAATGGGGGAAAAACAAGAACCCAAACACTTAAAATAAAATATATTACTAAAGTTCTTTCGAGTGTTTGTTTTTACTAAATAAGAAAGAACGTAATTATTATTTTTGGAAGTAGCTACACGAAAGCCGCAGCTGCACGTCTACACCACACGCATATCCCTTTCTTCGCCTTTTTTTAAATTTGCCTTTCTGAATCATATTAACCAAGACGCTGATGTCACTAACACTAGGAATGATAAACAAAGTAACAATAAATAAAAAACTAAAGTAGGCGACTCATGCCCTTTTAAAACTCATTCATCTCATAATAAGCGAACATCATAGCAGTCCACAAGATAAAAATCATAAAATTAAATCATAATAATATAGCATATAATATCCTATAAAGTATACCACTGGAACCTTAAAATTCAGAATTTTAAATATGTTAAAATAATAGCTTACCTGTTTTCTAAAATAAAAGTTTTAAAACTTAGGATTCCACTGATGTAAATTGCCTTACAAATTGTTGCCAACCCCAGTTTCAAACCAAAGAAAAATTAATTTAAGAATTTTGATATTTTCGAATGTTTTCACGTACTGAATTTGTATTTTCTTAAGTTGGGATTTCCTATAAACGTTTTGAATAAACATAACGGAAGAGCAAAAAACGTTAAAAATAATTTGGAACAAATTGTACAATTCCATTCAATAACTATTTTTACAGGCGAAGATATCCAGAGCAGACGCAGATAAATCGTCAGTTTACGTACCACTGTGAACGGGGATATTGATCACCTGACTTGCGTTACAGGCGCATATATTTGTCTTTCCTAATATAACATCATGGCATTTTGAAGGGAAAGATTGCTGTATTTATAAAGAAGAGGTTCAATTTAGTTATGAAAACACTAAATTTATTTGAGTTCGGCAAAGACAAATCTAAAAACGAGTTTATTATCAGGTATGTTGCAAAAGTTCTACTGCTTTGATCATAAGGTATATAATTTATCTTCTAAGCGACCTTGAGCTAACCAGTTTTCTGAGTACAAAATATAAAGTAGCATTCCATTTCAAAAAACAAAATGAGAGATGTAAGGTATATAATTAAATAACAGATTTAAGATACTTTAATATAAAATTTAAGGTCTTTAATCACTGCTAGAATTTTAACATTTTAACAAATTACTTGGATCGTACAGAAATGATTGACACAACGAAACTATTACAAAAACAAGTGAAATAGACACAAGGGGGCATGAGCTACTCAAAATGCATGGATGGAGCTGGCAACAAGCGACGAACGGTATAAGTCAGCCCCCGTCCCCTTTCGCCATCATTTCATCATTCTGAGCACTGAGTTCCTAGAGACCAGTTCAGACTTTCTTAAGCTCGTCTTGATTTCTGATAAGTCACTTATTTTTCTCCTCGAATGGCCAGTAAATCACCACCTGATAGGGGCAAACCGTCTTGGCATGGATCTACCAGCGACTTCAATGATAGCGATAATGAATCAGTTATTTCAATGAAATCGGACTGAACTCAATTAACTAACTGTACTCCTAAAAAGAACAAGAAAAATTCAAAAAAATTTCATTCTCTAGACCTAAATGCAATCTTTGAGAAAAACCGTAAATTTTTCCCTAACCTAACAGAAGGACTAGTAAAAGAAATGGATTTAAATCAACAAATTAAGACTCTTAACAGAAGCGGTTGATAAATTAATGAAAGAAGATCCCCAGAATAATGCCGACATTATTGCCGCTCTGATTAAAAAACAGGAACTTGAAAAGCTTGCTAAGGAAACTGAACAAACAGGCGATAAATTAAAGGATAAAAGCAAAAATGACTCTCAATGGAAATCTCCCACGAAAGCATTTAAGAAACCGCGCATTAAATCTCCAACTGAAATTCCTCAAACTAACAGATTCGACTCACTGAAAGAAAATAATCCTACAAAACCAGAAAATATGGAAACTAATACTCGAGAAAATAAGGAAATTAATATAGCACCAATAGTTATCACCGATGAAAATGCAAAATGGGATTCACTAGACGAAATCTTAACTACAACATGCTCAGGAAATTAGGACGCCGAAATGAAACACTGGAAAATCATTTAATTTTAAAATTTATCAGAACTTTCCAACGTAGAAAATTACAAGGTGGCAGTGGAAGCAATTAAAGAAAACGGAAATATTTTTTCACACTTACAGACTGGATTCAAAAAATTCCATTAAGGCAATTATCAAAAATATTCCGAGTTCCTTTCGTGAAGATAAAGTTTTGTTGCAATTAATTAAACTAAAATTTCCCATTCAAAAGGTTAAACAATTCAATAAGAAATAAAAAGATAAAATGATCAGACTTCCTATTTTACTTGTAGTACTTGATAATGACAAAGAAGGAGAAGAAATTTACAATTTACAGAAAATATTCAACTTTAACGTCACAGTAGAAAAATACAAGCCTAGTAAAAAACCCATCCAGTGCTATAAATGCCAAGAGTACGGGCGCTCTCAGAATTGTTTTAGTAAAACGCGATACGTTAAATGCGACGAGAATCACCGATCCAACAAATATCTTTTAAAACCTAAACAGAAACCTAAATGTATTTTTTTGTTCTCAATCGCATGTCAGTTCTTACCGCGGTTGTGAAGTTTATCAGAAAAGATTTAATCATCTAGAGAAAAACAGAAAATAAATTATAGAAGCCATTACCTCCCACAAGCCCAAACTTCCCGGATTTCATCTATCAGCAAGAAATTAAAGACATTTCTACTCCCAATGTTAGATACAGCGACAAACTTAAATCTAAAGTTCCTGCAACTGCTGAAATTGTTGATATATTTTCAATTTTAAAAAATCCAAAAATCATCAACTTTTATAAGCTACAAAATGCATCATGAAATTTACAGAATCAGATTAAACTTCTTAATTTAGACATCTTCTGCTATTTTAGTTTACAGTTTTTTACAATTTATTCATTATGCCGTATCTTCTAAGTGCTTGACAACTGCCAATCCTTCAACGACCAGTAGACGGCGACACGCTAGCTGAACTTCCAAAGGCACAATTAACCCTAATTCCAAGTTTCAGGCTCAACTCTTATCTTAGAGGATAGATGGCGACACGCGCTGACAACTAAAGCTAAAAAAATTACTTCATTTTCACCAAGAATTTGCCACTTCTTCTTTTATGAAGTGGATCTCATTCTCATTAAGACTGCCTCAGTAGGGGCATTAATTGAGGAGTTAAGGTCTTAGAGTTGAAGACTCGTCATCACCATAATTCACCTGAATTCGCCGTTGTCATTGAGAGCGTGGACAGCAATGATGGAAGATGATTATCACGGTCAGCGTTGGACAGCGTGGTTCCTGTGAAAGGAAGGGATACAGAGTAGTGATACCCATCGTCGCATGGTATCGGTGAGCAAGAACAAATGTCTTCAAGGTTACCTATCCTGTTGGTTGGGCAAGTTGAGCAGTGGAGTAGAAACCGCAGCCAAAGGTATAGCGCAGGACGACCAACAATATCGTATACAGCAAGCAAATGTGGCAGCCGTGTCGGATTTGATCATGGCGAACAGGCGCATAACGTTCAACAAGATGCAGGAAGAGAGAGGACTTGCGCAAGGAACACTGCAGACGATTGTGGATGATGATTTGGAAATGGCAAATATGTGTGCAAAGTGGGTGGACAGCGGATCTCGATTCAAGTCCTCGGACTACGCCTTGCTTGACAAAATGAAGGACGTAGTCAGAGACCAACATTTTGAATCTTCTGCAGAATTGCATGCAATTGTCCACTGGTGATGCCCCACAGACCACTTTACGAAAGCCCTTCGGGATCTCCCAGCCAGATGCCAGAAGCGTATTGACATGGGCGGGGATTATTTCTAACTTATGTACTGTCAGTTATAAGTTAGAAATGTAGAAATGACAAAGAAGTCCTATAGAAAACGAAATACAATTTATTTTGTATTCCGTTTTCTATAGGAATAATAAATTGTAATATGTTATAGCTATGCAGAATTGTTTTAGTAATCAGAATAACAATAATTATAATCAGAATAACAATAATCAGAATAACAATAGTTTTAGTAATCAGAATAACAATAATCCTATATGCAAAATAAATTGTATTCCGGAATTGTATTCCGAAATAATAGAATACAAAATAACAATTTATTATTTTGTATTCTATTATTCCGTTATTATAAATTGTATTCCTAACAGAAGTTAGAAATGACAAAGAAGTCCTATATGCAAAATAAATTGTATAAAATAATTGTATAAAAATAAATTGTATAATTTAAAAGTACCTTTTAATAAATTGTATTCCGCTCTGTGGCAGCATTTGTGTCATTCATTTCTGTACGACCTAAATAATTTACACATTTTAATATATTAAGTTAATTAAAAGCAATAAACGCATTTTTATTAATTTAAATCTTTATTTTATTTTATAAAATACATTTAATAAACATAAATTGAAATGCGTACATGATTGTTGTATAAAAATGATAATTCTAACGCCGAAATAGCTGGTACAGCATTTTTTGGTCTTTTTCCATTCATAAATCTTATTAATTTCTAACAAAATAACACTCCTAAAGTGTGTTTTGTAATAAAAGCCTTTTCTAGTAATCCCATCAAAATACTGGAAATATAATTTGTGTGCAAGTTAATTTAGTATAAATTAAAGTTAATTTTTTACGCATTTAAGACACTGCACTTGCCTTAAGCATGTAAAAGTTCTTAGATAATTCTGCTACTTTTAGATAAAACATCGACAAGATCTAAAAAACGATTAACAACAGTATCTAAAGAAATAAAATTTTAAGGCTTCCTTTTTCGTTTAAGCATAAAAGCAAATCGCTACATGCTTCATTCCAAACAAAACGCGAAACATTATTTAAATTAAATTACTATTAAAACAATGAATGCATTGCTGAATCCAGTAAATTGCATAACTTTCATTGAAGCCACACTTTAGTTTCGTTGTAAATGGTTAAAATCTTCCATCTCTCGCTTACAGTCACTTTTAATCATTATCGGTTAAACCAAGATAAGTGAACTTCGTATCTTCTCAAAACAATGACAAAGATCTTAATTAATTCTGCAATTATAGATTAGCAAATGCATTTCCGTGAGCCATAACTCGACCAACTGAAATGTTTTTGGGAATCGAAAATTTTGCAGTTTCTGCTGTAGCGAGGGAAATGAGCTATCTGAATGAATAAGGCATATTATTAACTTTATCGAAATGAAGGCAATAGGAATAATAGACGATGTGATTTCAGTTGATTGCCTTCATTTGTTAGTTTGATAACGAAATGAGTTTGTAGTTTCTATGCTGGCATCGAAAGATAAATTGGGTTCGTTGCTATTTAGTTGAAACCGACAGCTTTCGGGCCGTATTTCAGGTAATCGCATTATTAACACTGTTAAATCTGAAAATATTTGTTTTGAATAATATTTCTGCATTTGAAGTGGATTTATTATCATTAAAATTATCGCACTTTAATATAAACGTCCATGTCTTCTTTTAAGAAGCATTTTGAAAAATTTCTATTATACGTTGTACACAGAAATAAAAAAAATTAATGTACACATTACATGACTTCCTAGTACGGAATATTAAATTATACGCATTTTTCCTGCATTTCATTTAAACTTATTTTCTCTAAATTTATAAGATATATTTGTCATTCAATTAATTCAATTCTCCCTTTGAGTCAAGGCAAAAATCCATGTAAACTCAAAATATCTTCATTACGAATTGAAAGATATAGAAAAACATAAATCAACAACAATTAAAAAACAATTTTTACATAAAACAATATAAAAAACAATTTCTACAATTGAAATTACAGTTCTTACGCAAAAACAAGCAATTCGACCAGCGGGCAAGGAGGCAGATGTTTCGTTGTACAAAACTAAAAGTTTCCTTTCGGTCCCACTCGGCAAAAAACAACCGAAGATGCAGAAAGATTTCATTCACTATTCTGCTGAGTTTCAAAGGTAAACAAGCTGAACCGCACTTAAGCAACTTTTAAATTCTTCATAATTCTACAATTATTGCATGCAGATTAACTAAAGTCAAAAAACCTTAACTTGAAGATAAGAATAACATAATTCAATCATTTTAATGCAAAAAATGCACTGTTTACCAAAATATAAAAACAAAACACACTGAGCTCATTGAGTCGAATAACAGAGTGGGTATACATGTATATAGACTTTTGGTGAGACTGATTGCATCCAAAATAGGAGATGCACAACGGCATGTTATAGCAGTCCTATATGCAAAATTTCAACGCTCTGAGGCTACTTGTTTTTGAGTTATTCGAGATACATAAGTACGTACGTGCAAAAAAGCCACGAAAAAACTCTTCTGAATCCATTTTAAATCAGATTTTTATAATTTATTTGTGGAAAACGTTTCCTTTATTATGCCTTTACGTATAGATGTAATTCAGAAACATTGGTTAAATTGCGTTCTATAGCGGTCAAAATGGATATTTTCGTTGAAATATGATACCCGAATTTTTTGTGATTACAATACTTTCTTTACTTCGTACAAGGAAGTAAGAAACTGAGCACATCAAGTAAAGGTACTATCATAAATTAAATTGCAACTTTAGCAATTATATTGTGTATCGATAAGTAGCATTATACGTCAGCTCACCATAATATTAGTACTTGCTCAAAATGAGACACTTTTGTGAGGGAAAGTACTTATGATTCAAAAACCTATGTAAAGAAGTTATTAAAAAATTAACAGTAAGTTGAAAGAAAATTTTAATAATTCAATTAATAATATATTATTATGAATAAGTTATTAGTACTTATCATTTCTCTGAAATGATCTGTTCATTACTGATAATACTCTTTTAAGTAGTGCTAATGTTTCTGACATACTGGTAAGGTATCCCATTATTATCTTAAGTAATCAAAACGTCATGCACATTTTTCTTCACAACTTTCATAGTTTCAAATTTCGTAATTAGCGGAAAAAACTTTTGTAATTACTAATTCAACGGAAACCGAATCCAGCATGTTTATTCCATTACTTACGATGGTTTCATTAATTTTTTTCAGTTAAAGCTTCAAACTCTGGCCATGTTAATTCACTCTTGTTTATCCAAATAAAAGATTCAGCTTCATTAAAACCGTTCTCCAATAGCTCAAAGTAAGAAATACATCTGTCATTATTTTGGGGATAACATCCATACATCATTAAAAGTACCTTTAAATCTAGAAACAAAATATTGTTACGAATTTGGTATTTAAAAAGCTAATGTTAGTTCAATTATAAATTAAATGGTACTTCTCGCGCAGTGCAGCGCGTGACGAATATTAAAAGAAAGCTAAGCCGAAAAATTGAAAATACAAGAGCGCGTGCATTAAATAAATAAATATCTCTTTTTGATTTCGAGAAAGTACTGGAAAATTCTAGCGCGTGATTTTAAAATCTTATAAAAGGAGGAAAACATCTCAGTTTGTAGGAGTTGCTTAGTTTGTTGTTGTTTAGAAAACTGCTGTTGTTGATTATAGCGAATTCGCGGATTAGCGTTCTTTAGCTGTTTTGAATTACGTTCGATTGTACATTTGAGTAGTTAAAAGATAACTACTGTGAGATATTGTAATACTGCATGATAATTTGAGAAAAGTTAAGCATTTTTGTTGTGATAATAATAATTTTTTGTTCATTTTTCATCGGACTTGTGCATTCATTTCATAACGAACCCGTACGCACGCAACAATTTTTGGTGTCAGGAGTGGGGTATTGAATGCCAATCACAAGAGCGATGGAAGAACAGTTAAAACAATTCATGGTAGCCTTTGCTACATTTAAAGAAGAAATGAAAGACTCTGTTAAAGAAGAAATTAGGTCCGTTAAAGAAGAAATGAAGTTGGGCCAGGAATCCGTTAAAGGAGAAATGAAATTGGGCCAGGAATCCATTAAGGAGGAAATGAAAGTAGGTCAAGAGGAATTGAAGAGAGAAATTACTTGCATAATAGAAAACAAGTTCCAAGCTATGGAAGGAAGAATGGACACAGTTGAAGACAAAGTTGGAGAAATTCAAGAAAGAGTTTCTGCGGTAGAGCAACAAATTGAAAAAAGAGTTTCTGCCGTCCAACAACAAATTGAGGAAAGGGTTTCTGCTGCTGTTGCAAAAGAAGTTGACACTTTAAAGAAGAGCATAGCGACAGAAGGAAGCAATTCTGAGGGTTTTAAATTCTTATCGATGCCTGCTCGTCATCTCTGAAGTTATCCACATATGATGGGAAGACATCCTGGCAAGTGTATAAAACACAATTTTCTATCGTTTCGGATGCGAATGGATGGGATTCCCAAACTAAGGCCTGTCATCTCGCCGCTTCTCTGAGAGCAGACGCAGCGGATATCCTGCAGACACTTCCAGAAAAAAAACCAAAGACTTGACTTGGAAGCTCTATCCGGCGCATTGGAGCTGCGCTTTGGCGAGAAGTGTTTAAAAGACTACAGCAGGCTTCAATTAAAATCCCGTCAACAGAAGCCCACCGAATCACTCCAGGAACTCGCCACAGATGTTGAAAAGCTGTCCCACCTCGCCTTTACGGAGTGCCCGAGAGAAACGAGGGAAATCCTGTCCCTGCAGTACTTTATCGATGGCATCCGTGATCCCGAAATACAGAAGGCTCTACGAATGGCGGATGTTAAAGATTTAAAAAGCGCTCTAGTGTACGCCATGAAATTTGAGGCAGCCCAGCAAGCCACTCGTCGAGACCGCCACCCAGTCAGAGCTGCTCAAGGGCAGGAGCCAGGGGATCAAGTCACCGCTCGTCTAGATGATTGAACTAGACAACTGAACTCCTTGAGACGGAATATTGGTGAGAAGAAACCGACCGTTAAGTGCTGGAACTGCGGTGCTGAAGGACACATACGACGAAACTGCAGAATACCCCAGGGTACGGATGTTAAGACCGCTCCTAACAAACAGCAGGGAAACTAATTAGTGGCCATCTCGCGGGGCGGAGGTTGCCAGATCATGAAAAGTCCCAGTTTAAAGCGTTTCAGATTTCTGCAGTGAGAGGCGGCAGTAATGGACTTTTCATAATAGGACGTATTAATGGAGTTCCCTGCAATATGACGATAGCTACAGGAGCCACTGTTACCATCATCCGAAAAGATTTGGCTCAACAAATGGGAAACAAACTTATTTGGACGCCGCCCTGCGTTACCCTCCAAACTGTGTCCGGTGAGAAGATCGACATCGAAGGAAAAGCAAATGTTAACATCACGTTTGGAAGTTCCGCTTACCACCACACGGCATATGTAGCAGAGATCACTGATTCTTGCATACTCGGATTGCACTTTCTAAGGAAATACAA